CGTACCCCTTCCTCCTCCGGCTAGCTGCATCCCACCCGTGCTTAAACTAGGGCCGGACAGTAGCAAATCCAGCCGTAGTTTCTCCGTTCCCTCTCGTCCCCCTCAGTTCTGCTGCAGAGAGCAGCAGCAGCCCGCGGGTTTCAGCACACGCGGCCCCTTCGCTCCCACAGCTCAGGGTCTGGTTTGTCCAGTGTCCCCGAGCTGTGGGGAGCTGCTCTCAGACCTGCTGCTTGTTCTCCCAGGCTGTGAGCGCACATCCTCTTTTTTTTTTTTTTTTTCATCTTTTATCAGTGTTATTTTGCTGTAATCTTCTGAGCCTGTTTTCTGCTGGATCTCCAAGGTTCCCCAGCTGTGGAGCATAACTGCATCCAGATCCCCTGCCTTTCGGTACCCCCCCCGCTGCGTGTGGGTGGAGGAGGGTGGGAGGGGAATTTACCTTTTCCCTGCAGGGCTAAACACAAAGCAACTGCAACAAAACAGCAAAATGCAGAGCAGTTCGATGTGATTTGCACACACGGACTCTGCTCCTCCATCATCTTCCTCTTCGGCACTGAGTCTCCAAACGGCGGCAGTGCTGATGAGGGTCGAGGGCACGGCTCAAACGCAGGCAGCCGCAGCGCGTCGGACGCTGCCTGAGCTGCCTCTTCTCTCAACTGAACCAGGGTCTTGTTTCTCTCTCCCTCCCGTACTCCAGCCCCTACTGAAGGGTCACTGTGTTCATTCTGCCCCCAGGACCAGCTCCAGCAGAAGATCATATGCCCTGGGCCGGTGACCTGCCTGACGGCTTCTCCCAACGGGCTCTACATCTTGGCTGGGGTTGCTGAGAGCATCTACCTGTGGGAGGTAAGGGGGCTGCCGGCCGGCACGGGGAACGGGGATGCAGGGATTCGCATCCTGTACGGTTAGCGAGTGCCCCTGTCCCGTCAGGTGTCAGTAAATCCACGTTCTCTGGGCTCCACAGCGGGGCGAAGGCTTTGCTGGGTCGTGTACGTTACAGCTGTGGCTGGGGGGGGGCGGGCTCCGTGTTGCCCCGAGGGGCTGGGGCTGGCTGCTCGGCGGCCTCCGTGGGCATGCAGACCACGGGGCAGATCGTCAAAACAGGGAGGAAGAGGAATTGTGGTGGGAGGTGCTGGATGAGGCTTAGGTCTGTTCTTTCCTTCTCTTTCCAAGCTGCTACAGATGCCTCAGGGGTCAGATGTTGCTCCCTCAAAGCAGAAACACAGGACCTGGTTTTCCTTTAGCACTTCTTCCACGTTTGAGCCTAATATTTGTATGTGACTTGTGATCTGGATGCCTGCAGAGACTGCTGTGCTCTGGTCATCATCCTTCTATTTTTAATTAGTGGTGTGTTTACGTGGGGATTACACTACGTTCTGAGCACTTCACCAAGCAAATGAAAGAACAAGCTTCTTCTGAGCCCTGGGATTAAACACCGAGATGTCTAACCTGGAAAGCTCTCAGTCCTGGGGGATGTTTCTGAGCCTTGTTATGTGGGTGGCTCTGTCTTAATTTATCAGATTTTTCTTTTAAAAATGTGCTTGTGGCAATGTTGGAAGAAAAGCCCTCACAAGGAATGCTGGGCTGAGACTGCAGCAAGTGGGAGTTACTCGCTCGCGATGCTCTGAGCTGGTCTCTGCTCGGAGGGGCCCTTTTGGTCTGCCCCCAGCTAGCCGTGCCTTGCAAACGCTTCCGAGCGTCTGCCTGGAGTGGGTGACGGCACTGTCCTCCTGGCAGAGGGAACAGGCGCCTCGGAGAGTCTGCGTGGAAACCTTCGTAGAGCTGGAAATGTGCCCAAGAGCCCTAGTTTTGTGCCTTCTCTGTGGGACCACTTGTTCTCCGTTGAATTGCAGTTTGGTTTTCTTTTTAGTTATAATTCAGACGAGAGAGAGTCGATTCTGTTCTTTTATATGGGGCTCCCTCGCCGCCTCCTTAGCTCCCTCCCTATCTGTGATGTTGCCTTTCGACAAGAAAAGCTCTGGGTTTAGGGAACTCCTTGTCCACCCTAACGCCTCCGTTGGCCCGAGACCACGCAGCCGTGCTGAAATGCAGCAACCCCCGGGGTGGCACGCAGCCTCCCGCAGAGCGCGGCTTTCGTAACCCCCGCAGCCATCTCGTTAGGTGGGGGAGGTTGGAAGAATCCATGAGGGTAATATTAGCAGTAAACAGGAAATCTTTACTGCACGCTTGTGTCTTGACCAGAGAAACGGCACTGGCATCACTAGGTTCCAGAGTTAACGTGGGCAGGACCTCTTCAAACTGCCTTTGCTGTATTTACCTTTGGTCATAAGTGTACGTGGTTGTACTGGTTGCACCTTGATTGCGTCGGTGGCCACCGGTGAGGTGCCAATGGGCTCGCGCGGTCGGCGCAACCTTCCCTTTTCGCTCCGCTTGCCGCCTCCGCTCGCTGCCGCGTTCTGCGCGGCTCCACGGAGCGGGGACTCTCCGCTCTGCTCGCGCCTGGCACGGCAATGCCCAGCTGGGGAGGGAGCTGCAGGTGCTGCTGCACCCGCAACCGTTGAGGGCAGGGCGCTGTGTTATTCCGGGGCATCTCAGTGCTCCTTTCTTAATATTCTCCTGCCCTTTCCCTTGCTCTAGGTCTCCAACGGGAACCTCCTGGCCATCCTGAACCGACATTACCAGGACCTCACATGCCTCTGCTTTACTGACGACAGCAGCCACTTTCTCTCGGGGGCGAAGGACTGTCTGGCCCTGGTGTGGAACCTTTACAGGTAACGGTGGCCCGCGGGGGAGGTCTCGGCTCATTCGTACGGGGGACAGGGAGCATTTGGGTGAGGAATATTAGAACAAGAGATCAGCCACCACTTCCCGGAGGTGGAATCAGCTCTGCCTAAGCCCGTTCGTAAAGCCTGCTCGTGATGATGAGTCTGTGCCCTCCTTAGGCGGCTGTTCCACTGCTGTTATCTTCGCTGCCAGGGAGGTTTTTCCTAGTGTCTAATCTGAGTTTTCCAAGCTGTGCCATATGGCTCTGACTTCTTTTCCCTGCTTGACACAGGGTGGATTGTGCCCTTTCCCTGCTAATGGCAGCTGAGGTCTCTGTGTCCTCTGGGATGGGGAGCTCAGTAGTGACCCTAGTCCTCGGTATCGCATGTGCCGTGGACGCTGATGGCTTCTGTGTCCTGCTTGGTCCTTGCAGCCAGGAGAGCCATCCCAGAGGAAGCAGAAGAGCCTTGGCCAGCTCCCCTCACAGCTGCTTTGCTCTGGCATCCCCACCGTTGCTCTTGCTGCCCTGCCGAGCCAACCCGTCTCTCTGTTCTCCCCTACAGCGTGCTGCAGGCAGAGCCCTCCCAGATCCCTGACCCCCGCCACGTGTGGTCCCGACACAGCCTCCCCATCACGGACTTGTGCTGTGGCTTTGGAGGGCCCTTGGCACGAGCTGCCACAGCCTCCCTTGACCAGACAGCAAAGGTAAGGCTTGGCTCCGTCCCGCTGAACAAGAGTCCTGGAGGTGCGCAGGCCCCAGAGGGTTAAAGCAGAGCTTCTGCTGGGCTGCAGCAAAGCTGTCCGCGAGGGTTGCAGTAGCTGAATTTCTTGGCTGTCTCTGTGATGACTCAGAGCTGCCAGACCTAATGGGCTTTGCCTCTCCAAACACCAGCAGTGTCTCTGCACCTGCCCTCAGGCTGGGCCTCTTCGTGCTTTGCAGTCCCTCTCCTCTTGGGGAATGTGGGGGTCAGCTCCTCTGATTCCCCTCACTGATGTCCTTTAGTCTCGAAGGGCAGGGAGCAGAGCAGCCTGGAGCCCGCAGCCTGCTCCTCCTGCCTTGCAGAGAGGGGTCTGCCCTGGGGGGCAGGTCGGGCACGTGAGGGGGTTAAGGGCTGTTTCGGAGCTGCCTGGGAAGCTTGTTGTCTCATGGTCATGAAGAGGCTGATCCTGGGTTCTGCCGTGCTTGTGCCTTGGACTCAGTTTCCCCATCCGCAGCAAGGAGGGGACGCCGGTATGTGCTGCCAGCTTGCCGCTGGGCAGGTGCTGATAAGCAGCAGCGTGTTCTTCCAACCCTGCCGTTAACATTTAAGCCCCTAATCCTCCTGTACCCTCTCACTCCAGCTCTGGGAAATCTCATCCGGGGAGCTCCTGCTTTCCGTCCTCTTCGATGTGGGCGTCATGGCTGTGACTCTTGACCTTTCCGAGTATCACATGTTCTGCGGCGGCATGGACGGATCCATCTTCCAGGTTGACCTCTGTGCCTGGGTGAGTGCCTGGGGCTGCAGATCTGCTCGGTGCTGCTGGCATGCAGCCCAGCCTTGACGTGGCAGCCTGAGCTACTGTCACCTCCCCGCCTACGTGACTGGTGTGACCTGCCAGGTTGTGGGAGGGCCTGGGTTCCCCTGTATCTCCTCTGCCCCCTCCAGACACAGTGATGAACCTGCTGGCTTCAGTCTTCCTGAATTTAAACCGCTCTCTCCCTTCCTTCCTTCATTTCTGCAGCCGGTCCAGAGAGACCGGACCTTCCAGACAGAGCGGGAGAACGGGAAGGTCTTCAAAGGGCACAGGTGAGGGACCAGACATACCTGCCAAACAATTCATCGCCCCCGTCTGCCCACTGCCAGTTTCTGGCAGTCCTCGGGTCGTCCTGAGTTTAAACTTCCTCTTCCCCATTCCAGGAACCAGGTGACGTGTCTGTCGGTCTCCACGGATGGCAGCCTGCTGCTTTCCGGCTCACACGACGAAACAGTCCGGCTGTGGGACATCCAGAGCAAGCAGTGCCTGAAGACGATGAATCACAAAGGTAGGCATGCCCTTATCTCCGGGATCCTTTCCTCCTCAACTGCCGAAGGCCGCTGCTGTCTCACTTCTGTTGCTCTGATGCTGCCGTGGGCACTTCAGGCATTTCTCTGCCACTTGCTTCACACCTCAAGGAGGGGTAGAGGCATTAGAGGGACGTCTTAGCTGTCTGGAGTAGTGTTTTGACCTTGCCCATGTCTGTTAACAACCCCCCTGTGCACTGTCAGGGAGTGAGTCATAGGTTTCACCCTGTCGCTGAGGACATCCAGCATCTTCCTCCTTGTTTTCCAAAGGGAGCGGTTGCCCCACACGCACCCTAACGCCGGGGGAGGCTGTGGGAGGGGGAAGATGTGTCTGGAGAAGAGACTGTCTCTGTGACCCCAGCAACAAGGACCCATGAGTTCATTAGGCCTGAAGTGAATCCGATATAAGCAGTCGTCTGGAATTTCAGTCTAATGGCTCCGATAAACCGTGCAAACAAACCCTTACAGGCTCAGATCAGCAATTAGGTGCCTGAGAGCAGCGGATGATTTAGCCCTCCTGCTGCATTTGAGCTGTTGCTAACAGTGGATTTTTTCTATGATTGTGGTGGTCTCCGGTCTCTTAACACCGCTCTCGCTGGTGGGGCCGGCAGCGCTGCTCTCCGGGCACTGCCTAAAACCCTCCCAGAAGGTGACGGTGGTGAAAGTCAGACCCTGTTCCTCTGTGATGCTGCCCCTGGACAGAGGTGGGCAAGCTGCTGCCCCAGGGCAGTCACTGAAAGCCAGGCTGCCCGCAGACACTTTCCTTTTTCCCTTTTGCTGCCAAGGACCGTTTCTAATGGGGACCTACTGCAGTGCCCATCCAGCCTTGCTCCACTAGCACTAGAGGGGTGAAAGCAGACAAAATCTGAGCTGTGTGAGTCATCAGAGGAGGGGGGCCAAGCTCTCACTGCGAGCCAGGCATCAAAACCCTCCTCGAGGCTGCAGGGGAGTGCGGATGGACACCAGCTCTGCCCGTGAGGGGCAGGACCAGGCTGACCGTGCCGCTGGGTGCCAGGGCCGTGAGGTGCGGGTGCTCTCTGCAGCCTCTGCTGGCTCGATTCTTCCTGCGGGCAGGGATTTGGCTTCCCCGGCAGCCCTGGCCCCTGCACTGCCCTGCTGCCGCTGTGTGCTTACTCTGCGCCTGGCAGCGGGGGGGGGGGTGTCTTTTGGAC